CGGCTCTGCCCTGAGGACAGACTACAAGGAGACCGGCGTCGTCGTCGTCGTCGTTGTCACAGAGAGCTCAGGGGGAAGTCGTGACACAGCCCAGAGGATGATGGTGACTGACCTAAACAGTGGAGGAGGAAGGTTTGCAGGGCTCTGAAGGGCTGAATCACAGACATGTGCTGAGGACAAGACTGCGGGATGGACTGACAGGCCTAGTGTAGGTGTCATGGAGGGTGGCATGGGAACTGAGTGCAGGGTTCCGGGCAAGGCGACAGCAGAAAGAGAGCAGCCAGGACCTGAGACAGACAGGGTAAGAGCTAACGTTATCAGTATCTGGATCTGCTTCACAGGTAGAATGGCTCCTGCCTTCGTTTCTTCTAAATTCTACAACATGCTTTTTACACACTGGCTTGGTCTCTTCATAATCCAATGTCCCCCATTTCCTCTTCTCCAATTTCTCCTTTTAGAATGGAACCTTAAACTACAAAATATGGTGGTTTTTTTCTCTCTCAGGACAGGTTTTCTCTGTGTAGCCCTGGCTATCCTGGAACTCACTCTGTAGACCAGGCTGGCCTCAAACTCAGAGAGCTGCCTAGCTCTGCCTCCTAAATCCTGGGATTAAAGGCTTGAATCACCATGCCTAGCTAACTCATGGTTCTTCACCTAGGCACCTGTGCCAACTGCTTGAGGTCAAGGGTGAAACAGACCCAACTCTCCTGCTCTACGCCATGCTCTACCATCCCAAACTGCTCTCGACTTCTCAAATGTTCCGAGAGACCACCCTCCTTTCCTAATGACTGTCTCAAGAATAAGTCCTCGACACATGTGCCTTTCTCTGCATTTCTTGCCAGACTCACTCCAATGAGGGGTTCACATTCTCCTTTGCCAACAAGGAAAGTGAGGCTCATAAAGGAAAACAACTTGGCTTTGTCTATAAGTCTATGAGTAGTGGAGGCCAAGTCAAAACTAGGTCAACTCAACCTCAGAGCCTCTGCTAATGCCATAGTGAAGATCTCTAGGTGGTAGTGAAGGACTATAAGTGGACTTAACGCATATTAAAAATCTAAACTTGGAAGCTGCACAGGTGTTGTGGAACGTTTAACTATGTAAAGATGTGTTGTATTTCTTTATGCTGTGGAATATTAGTTTAACTGTGTAAAGGTGGGTTGGTTATATTTGTTTATACTGCATTTGTTTAATGATGTAAGGAGGTATGTTTAACTATTGTGTTGCATTGCCTGCCTAAAGCACCTGATTGGTCTAATAACAGGCTGAATGGCTAATAGCTAGGCAGAAAAAGGATAGGTGGGGCTGGCAGGCAGGGAGAATAAACAGGAGGAGAAATCTAGGCTCGGAAGAGGACAGAAGGAGAGAGGAGGCAAAGGAGAGAATGAGGGAAACTCCCAAGGCTAGAAGCCAGGAGACCATCACCAGCCAAACATGAGAAGCAGTGAAAGTAAGATATATAGAAGGAGAAAAAGGTATGTACTCACTCATTTATGGATTTTAGACATGAATCAGGGGAGTGCCAGCATACAGTCCCACTGCCAGAGAGTCTGGGAAACAGAACCTTCATCCAATGACTGACTGAATGGAAGCAGAGGCAGATACGCACAGCTAAACACTGAGCTGAACTCCTGGAATTCAGTGACAGAAAGGGAGAACTGATGAGCAAAGGAGTTAAGAAACAGCTGACCTGAACAAGGGGGAGCTCTTGGACCCCATATTGATGGTTGGGTGGACAGCATGGGACTGAACCAGACCCCCTGAATGTGGGTGTCAGTGAGGAGGCCTAGGTAATCTATGGGACCTTGAGTAGTATTTATCCCTGGCATACAAATAGACTTTGAGTGCCCATGCCACAATGAGGGAGGCTCTCTCAGCCTGGACTCTTGGGGGAGGGCCTAGGCCCTGCCCTGGATGAAATGACAGACTCTGGAGATCCACCATGGAGGGCCTCACCCTCCCTGGGGATTGGAGTGGAGACTGTGTGGGGGACTGGGAGGCCTGGTGGGGAGGGCGGGGGAGGAGAGGAGGGAGAGGGAGCTGGGATCGATGTGTGAAACAAGATTGTTTCTAACTTAAATAAAAAAGAAAAGAAAAGTAAAAGTAAAAAGCCTCGAGGCAAAAGGTAGACTAATTAATTTAAGTTAAAAAGAGGTAGCTAGAGCCGGGTGGTGGTGGTGCACTCCTTTAATCCCAGCACTCGGGAGGCAGAGGCAGGCGGATCTTTGTGCGTTCGAGGCCAGGCTGGACCGATAGCCTCCGAAACGATACAGAGAAACCCTGTCTCGTAAAAACCAAAAAAAAAAAAAAAAAAAAAAAAAAAAAAGAGGTAGCTAGAAAGGAGCCTAAGCTAGGCTGAGCATTCATAACTAATAAGAAGTCTCGCCCGGCGGTGGTGGCGCACGCCTTTAATGGTGCACGCCTTTAATCCCAGCACTCGGGAGGCAGAGGTAGGCGGATTTCTGTGAGTTCAAGGCTGGGCTGGACCGACAGCCTCCAAAACAATACAGAGAAACCCTGTCTCGTAAAACCAAAAAAAAAAAAAAAAAAAAAAAAAAAAAGAAGAAGTCTCTGTGCCATGATTTGGGAGCTGGTTGGTGGCCCCAAAGAAAGAGAACGCCTGGTACACACAGGGGTGGGAAGATGGTTAGTGTATCAGGTCTAGGGTGGGAGGTTGGAGTTACTGCTTACTAAGTAGAGTTATTGTTTAGGATACCAAAAACTCTGGAAATAGACAATGATGGTTCCATGATACTGCAATCTGTAATCAATGTCATCACATGCTGCCGCTATGGAATGAGCTGTGCTTTCTCTATTTTATATGTTGAAAGTCCTGACTCCCTATGACAACACTTGGAGACAGGACCTTTACAACATAACTAAGGTTAATGACATCATGGGGGGGTCTTGGTTTGACCAGATTAGAGTTTCTTATTCTAGGTAGCTAAAAGCACATGAAGTTTAATGAGTCCAAATGGGATGTGATCATCCAAACTGTGACCCCTGGCTGGTGCTTTCCCGTTTGTAGACAGCATGGTCATTCATCAGCTAGCCACACATGAATGGATGCCACGGGCACCGTCTCTACCCTTACCTACCCAGTCTACCGTCCTAGGGAGTTCACTGCTGTTGCTTGGCATAGCTTTCCCCTATGGCTGTTTTGACCCGAGATGCTCTCATTACAGCTTAGGGACACCATCCAATCCCTTCGAGTGCCTGTCCCCCTCCCACACTTGACTCTCTAGCTTGTGTTCAGAGTGGTTGAGGTTTTGTTTCCCTGCCTGAAGCTCTCAGGAAACCCTGCACTGATGCTCCTTTTGACCTGACCTCTATCAGTCCAACATCTCAACACTTACTCATACCACCAGACTCCAAAAGCATCAGGTCTTCTGCCTAGAATGCCCTGGCCTCTCTCTACCTGGCCCATCTCATTGAGACTCAACTCAGAAGCCCCCTCCAGTTACCGGCAATCTAACAGGCACCTAGAAACTGCTTTTGCTAAAAGAACCAAATGATCACCTGGTCGCACCAGGTAACTCAGACTGAGATTAAAGCCCAGCTCTCTGCCTTTACTTTGTGTCTGTATCACTTACTTTGGGTCACCTGCTCTCGTAACTCGGCTCAGCGCTCAAGGAGTCTTCCTCAACTCTGGTGACGCTCAGTCAATCAGGGCAGCTTGAGCATACGAACATCTCACCTCCTGCACCCATTCTTCCATCATTTTTTTTTTTAGGACAGGGTTTCTCTGTGTATCCCTGATGGTACTGGAACTCACTCTGTGGACCAGGCTGACCTCAAACTCAGAGATCCGCCTGCCTCTGCCCCCCCCAGGGCTGAGATTAAAGACATGTGCCACTGGCAGCACCGCAGGGATGGATCTGGGCTCACTGTACCTCCATCAGTTCCTCCTGACAGGGTGCCACATAAGTTACATTTCTCTGCTTCTCTCAGTTTATCTTTTACTTATCATATTGGGGTGACGCCATGGTGATTCTTGGTTGTCAACTTGGCTGTATCTGGAATGACTACGATCCAGAAATGGAGGGCACACCTGTGATTCAGATCTTGGGGCAGGAAGGGAACATCCTTTAATCCAGCTCTTGAGGAGGGATGATACACGCCTTTAATGCAGACCCCGAGGCAGGGAGACACACCTATAATCTGGGCCACACCTTCTGCTGCAAGCCTGGGTAAGGACCAGGGAAGAAGGAAGGCTCCTTGGTTCGCCTGTTTGCCCTTGCCTTGCCAGCACATAGAGCCTTCTTGGGATTTCGGCACATCCAGAAGACCCTCGGGGACACTCGGCCTCCTGGGACTGAGCAACGGCTGGATTCTTGGACTTTCTAGTCACACCTGGCTATTGTTGGACTGCAGCCTGTAAGTCATTCCAATAAATTCACTCTCTCTCTCTCTCTCTCTCTCTCTATATATATATATATATATATATATATATATATAGTATATATATATATATACTCTATAAGTCCTGTGTCTCTAGAGAACCCTGACTAACAGGTGGTGGTTTGGTCTCTTGGGACCGGTGGAGCCGGGACTTTTGCCCTAAAATTCTGGGAGCTCCGCTGTGGGTAGGTTCCCATGTGGCCTCTAGTCTGTCAGGGTTTAGTCATGACTCTCAGCAATCAATGCTGTGCTGCACACAATCCTGTTCCACAGCGAGCCCATCTGCCTGAGTCCTGCACACAGATGTTCAACACAGCCCTTGCTGAGCAAACAAGGGATAGAATCTCTTCCCTTAATGTTTCTGACCCTAATTCCCCCAAATTGTAAACTGGGGTTAGGTGCTTTTCTTTCCTAGCCATTTTACCTAGTAACACTCACACATTATGTTCGTTTTCCAAGTAGTGCGAGCCAGAGGGAGGTGCTAAGCCATCTGGGGAAGGTGGCACTTGCCTGGGGTATGAGAAGGGAAGACCTAGGTAGAGAGAACTCAGCTTGAGTTCGGGAGGTTGAGGCTCCAAGAGGCACTCATCGGGGTGGCCCACCTTGCAGACCCTCTAGTCGGTAGGTGCGGTGCTCCACGGACAGACCCACCGCGCTGTAGGGCCCGTAGCGCAAGGTCACTACAGCTTGCTTGGGCATGGCGCTTCTTCCTGGCTGCTGGAGGTTGTCTAGGACTCAGAGCAACACCTGCTGCTAGGCAACCGCCCTTCCAGCCCTCCGGGGGTGGGCGTGGCCACGCGCTGGGCGGAGCCAAGGCTTTCTTGTCCCAGGTCCCCAGGCCCGTGATGACAAGAGTTGTAGACCCTAACTCTAATTGCACCCTCTGTGGTAAGTGTTAACTTGAACGGGTGAATGACCAGCTATGGAAAGCACGTGTCTGGCTGCCCTTTACGAAGTTGCCTCGTTTTGTCAGGATCCTTCGCTCAAGGTGAGTTGCAGCCTGCGTTTTGTTTTTACTCAGCTGAGGCCCGGGGTCCTTGCCAGGCCGTGCAGGAAAGCAGAGTGGGTGGGAAACTATGTTTTCCCTACTTCCTGCTCTGTGTTTGATTGGTTGGTTATACGTACATACAAATAGACCTATCTTTGTTTTGTTGAAACCTCGCAAATGCACGGATTGCAGGCCTGTGAGACCACGTGTGCTGATATGTTTCCGATTAGTCCATTCCCCTAGTTTCCATTCCTTACTAGTTAACCTGTTTTATTGAGACAAAAACCTAGATTCAACAAACTCTTTTCCTTTTCTCAGCTCAGGGGATGGGATAAGGACTCAGAAGGATCTCTTGTCTGACTGACTGTCTGTCTCTCTCCCTCCCTTCCGACCTCTCTCTTTCTCCCTCATTGCCCTCACCTGCAGACCACAGACAACCCAGGAAGAACCTGGAGGTCCATGGTTGAGAGACCCCACTGAAGGGAGGAAGCTGGACCCCTGGACACAGCCTCAGCAGCCTGCTTTGTTCTGGGAGAGGAGAGAGCATCTGTTCTCCAGTCCTGAGATTCAGGGGTGGATTTTGTTTGGTTCTTTTTTTTTTTTTTCTTCAGTCATTCGTCTGACAGTTACCTTCCTGTGAGTGCAACACACGTTTATAAAAACCAGCATAGTTGATGTTTTTATACTCATTATGAAAAATACATGGGTTAAAAACTCTCATTAATTCTTCTCCCAACATATGCTACTGTTGTGTATTAGTATTAATTCTCTCCACGTGTACAGTCTGCTCTTCTGTGACACATACTGGTTCATCCACATTGCCAGTAGAATTCTGACTTTTGGAGGGTCACAAAGAGTTTCCCCTGGTACCACTGTTTCACACTGGCAAGCAAGACACAGCTTCACCTAATAGGAAGAAACGAGTTGATTCTGAGCCAAATACCAGTAACTATGGCCCAGAGGCATGAATTCAAGTCGCCCCAAATATAACATGTTTCAACATAGAATTGTGTTTTTTTATGGATTTTTATAGTCACAAAACTAAAGGAAGTCATAATGCAAAGCATTTACCAAATATATGGGTGGGCACAGTGTGGATGCCGGTTATGGCCAGGCAGGGGCAGCTCAGTGACAGGCTTCAGACATCATCTGGTGATATTTTAGCTTTGGGGTTGTGGAAGCTAACGGTCTGTTAATATATTCCGAAGGTTTTACATAATAGCTGAAATGATGTTAGGTCAGTAAGCAATGAATGAATATTAAGGGACTAACAATAACCTAAGATAACTTGGGCTCTGGATCTGAACATTACAACTCTCTACAATCATGAAGTTCAAGTCAAGCAGTCGGCCAGGCCAAATTCTTTACATGGGTGTGGTTTTTTTTCTGGGAACTTCAGTTTACAGCACCCCTGAATAGCAGAAAGACGAGCACAGAGAACAACAGAGAGAGGCAGCTCTGTACACGACATCAGTCTCTTCATCCCGGTCAGTGTGTCCTCATGCCTATTGTGCCGGGCTGCTTTACATCAGCTTGACACAGCTATGGTCATCTGCGAGGAGGGAACCCCGGCTGAGAAAATGCCTAGAGAAGGTCAGGTTGTAAGCAGGCAAGCCTGTGGGGCATTTTCTTAATTAGTGACTGATGGGGAGGGCCCAGCCTATTGTGGGTGGGGCCGTGCCTGGGTTGGCCCTGGGTCCTATAAGACAGCAGGTTGAGCAAACCATAAGGAGCAAGCCAGTAAGCAGCATCCCTCCATGGTCTCTGCATCAGCTCCTGCCTCCAGGTTCCTGTCCTGACTTCAATGATGAACAGCAATGTGGAATTGTAAGCCAAGTAAACCCTTTCCTCCCCAACTTGTTTTTGGTCCTGGTGTTTCATCAGAGCAATAGTGACCCTAACTAAAACACTAATGTTTGATTTTCCCTAAACTTTATGCACTTTTAGAAGACAAAATCTACTCCTCACTGGGGTACTATGGATTGGATTATTAACTTTTAAAAAAGCATTTGTAAGGACTTTCTTCTTGATTTTACTACTAATCTGTTTTCACATTTCATCTCCTTGTCTGTGTGAGTGCCTACGTATGTGTGTATGTGTGTGTGTGTGTGTGTGCATGCATGCATGTGTGTGCATGCTATGGCATGCATGTGTGTTGTGGCATGTGTGTAGAGGTCAGAAGACAACTTGTGGGACTTGTGTCTCTCTATGTGGGTTCCAGGGCTTGAACTGAGGTCGTCAGCCTTGGTACCAAGAACCTAGATTCACCAAGTCCTCCTATCAGCCCCCTTGGCTTTACTCTTTTTGGTTTTTTGAGACAAGGTCTCTCTCTACAACCCTGGCTGTCCTGGAACTCGCTATGTAGTTTAGGCTGGCCTCACACTGCCTTCTGAGTGCTAGCATTAGAAGCATGTGCCACCATGCCTGATACTACCTTGGTTTTAGATACAGGCTTTCTCACTGAACCTAGAGTTTACTGATTTTGCTAGACTGGTGTTTTAGGGTTTCACTGCTGTGAAGAGACCATGACTATGGCAACTCTTATAAGGGAATACATGCATTAAAATATGTCTTTTAAAATTATTTCCAGTAGATTGGGTTTGTCCTAAAATTCATGGGCCAGTACCTATCCTCCCAGAGAAATTTCTTGATTCTAGCATTTAGCCAATTTTTATTAAAAAACAAGCTAGCTAACAACAAAAACATCCTTTTTGTTGTTTTGACATTGGATGCTGTTTTTACGTAATTTGAATAAAAAATGTCAACCTCAGTCTTTGGTAGTCCTGACAAGTGTCAAAGTTACTCTTTGATTTATTCCATCTTAACATTTTTAGTGTCAGTAGCAACATAGTAAACCAATAGGTTGGACCCAGTTAATATTCTTTCTTTTGGGGGCACTGGGGAAATATAGCTCTATTTGGTAAAGTGCTTGGAATGCAAGCCTAAGGACCAGAGTTCCAGTCTCAGCATCCATATAAAAAGGTCAGGTATGATGGTATACACTTACAGTTCCAGCACGGGGAAGATAGAGACAAGAGGATCTGTCTAGACCCTTGACTAAGATGGGAACCAGCCATCTTAGTTTAATTAGTGAGATTCAGGTCCCTTCCAGTGAGAGACATGAATATACAGATACACACACAAGAATAATATATAAGAGGTTCTTTTGTTCTTATCTGTAAGAATTTAGATCTCAAATAAAGATATTGACAGTCATCCCAGCCTAAACCCACCCAATCTCATCTGAGAGAAAGGTATCCCAACATATAAAGCTCTTTTAGAAGACTTACGGTAGATCTCTATTGGGACTGGAACAGTGTCTCAGTGGATAAGAGTGAGTACTGCCCACACTGAGGACCCAATTCAGTTCCCAGGCTCCACACCCCCAGCCTTCGTGAGCACCTGAAACTCAGATGCACACACACCCATACAAACATACATGTACACACATAATTAAAAGCAGATGTAAAACAAAGCCTCACTCCTATTTTTATGTCTAAAATTTGTGTTTTCTCCAAATAAGATAGTTATTTTGTGTTGGTAGTGAAATTTTTGTATTTTTTTAAGACTGGAAACTTGATTCAAATAAAGTAGCAGTCATAACATTGTCATTAATGTAAAGACATCCTCATCTTCCTTCCTTCCTTCCTTCCTTCCTTCCTTCCTTCCTTCCTTCCTTTTTCTTTCTTTTTGAGACAGGGTTTCCCTATGTAACTTTGGAGCCTTTCCTGGCACTGGCTCTGTAGACCAGGCTGGCCGCAAACTCACAGAGATGTTTGTCCTAAAAATAAGTTCCATGAGTATTTAACAATTATGCCTCCAAAAGGAATACTTTTTTTTCTAACTTATTTTTACTTCCTACTGCCAAAGTGGCAGGTTTCTGAGAAGAGATTTTCCCCCAACAGGAAACTGAATTGTTGCAAACGAGTTTTACCATACTTGTGTATTTTGTTAGTCTTTTCAAATGGCCTGGTTTTTCTCTCTCTTTCCTACTGGGTTTTGTTTTCTGTTTCATTGGTAACTGATTTTGTCTTTGTTTCTCTTCCTATTTGAGGTCACCGTTTGGTTCCTTCTTCTAACTGAAAGTGTTTAAAAGGCTTTACTTTCTAGTGTTTTTTGTTTGTTTTTTCGAGACAGGGTTTCTCTGTGTAATGGTCCTGTGCAGGGTCCCATGATGATGCCCTGGCTGGCCTACACTCACTATGTAGCCTAGACTGGCCTTCAATTCCTGATCCTCCTGCCTCAAACTCCCAAGTCCTGGGAGTATAGGCATAGGCCACCAGGTTGGGCTTTCCCTTTTGTTTCAGAAATGTATTTAGCTCACCAATTCTTTTATCATACCCCTTTCTGAGGTATTGTTTGCCTATGAAAACTTTTGCCATGTTGCAAAGGTTTTGATGTGCGGTACCTTTAAATGGAGTTTATTTGCTCCTTTACAAGTTCATGCACGTATTTAGCACGTTTTGACCGAGTCCCCTGTCAGCCTCTCCCCTCCCAGTGTGCCCCCCCTTCCTCCTTTCCAGGAAGTGCCCCTCCCACATTCACCCTCTTTGCTGTTGTGTTACCCACTACATTTAGTCACAGTTGCCTGCGTGCGCACGTGTGGGAGATTATTTCCTTGATCAAGAAAAATCACCATGGCTCTACCACTGGGGAGTATGACTCCTTCGATCTCAGCAGCCTTTGAGTTCCCCTGGCTCCGTGGACCCCTCCCACTCTGTGCTGGAATGTTGCTGCACTTGGGCAGGTAGCCGCTGCCGCTGTTAGTTCATGGGTGCAGTAGCTGGAAGCATCCTCCCTGGTTGGCTAGCTTCCGTGTGCCACGTTTAGAAAACAGTATGCCACAGCACCCCTCCCTATCCTCTGGCTCCTGCATTCTTTCCATATCCTCTTCCACGGTATTCCTTGGAGGAAATGGTAGAGTTGGCCTGTTTATGGCCAAGTACTCAACAGTTACATATTCCCTGCATCAACTACAAACAAAAACTTCTCTGATCATTTCAGAGAGTGGCACTAATCTGTGGGTATAAACACTGCAACGCAGTTTGGCACCATATCCATTAAACAAAACGGTAGTAGGAGGTTCCTGTCTTAGGGTCTAGGACCTCCCTAGCTATGGTTTTTGACCAGGTTTATAGTACCAGACGTGAATTCCTCTGTGGAGAGAGCCTCAAATGCAACAATGAAGTCATTGGACACCTCCGTGTCCGTCATGCCACCGTTACACCAATGAGCACGCTTGCCTGCAGATTGGTGCTGTATGGTGCACAGGGCTCATATCCAGGTAAGACTGTCAATGCCTTTTCTCCCCCAGCAGGCTGGCGAGCAGATCTCAGGAGTGTGAAAGCGAGTCAGCAGGGAGAACACTTCCAGCTCCTTTTTCAGCTTCATTCATTGGTACCCTGAGGCCAAATCAAGTGGTGTCTTCAGCATAGGGTCTTATCATCTAGTAGGTAACCAAGAACAGTGGCAATGCCTCTATTGTTTGGGGGGGAGTCGGGGTCATAATAACGTATCCTACACTTGGCCCTAAGGCATTCTGGGAGCAGCATTGGTTTTTTTTTCCTTATTCTTTTTTTTTTCCAGTTTAAATTTAGATAAGAAACAAGGTTGCTTCACAAGTCAGTTCCAGGTCCCTCTCCCTTTCCCTCCCCTCCTCCGGTGCCTCCTCCCAACCCCCCCCCCCATTATCCCCTCATTCCCCCAGGGAGGGTGAGGCC